TCTAAGGATAGTGGAGCCTTTCCCCAAAATACATGACGCTGTGATGGCAGCAAAACATGGCTCAACAAATTATAAATCTTAAGGAGTCCGATTACAAATGCTCTCCACACTTTTCAGATCAGGATAAAAATAATGAATTTCTTTCATTCTACTTCAAAACTATACAACAAGCTGTGTTAGTTTATCACATAGAAAACTTGCATATAAAACGTGAGAAGTTTTAAGGAGTGTTAATAACTTTGTAAAGCGATTGTGAAAGAAGCTTCCTCATCCAGCTTAATAGTCTAACGATCTGTTCGTCTTTGGGATAAGGCTTGGAGGTAACGGGCTTTCTCTGAGGGAAGCCTATAAACCTTAACTCTGTCTAACCCGATCAGGTCAGAGGTATTAGGTAGAGCAGAGAAGAGCAGAAAGAGGCTTTGAAGGTTGGATTCGGGTGTGAACCAATTTCCTCCTTTTGTTTAAGCAGCAGCTTCTAAATAAAAAAAATAATAATCTTTTTTTTTTTTAACTATACTTACATAAAGCTGGTTTTCAGCACTATATTACAAATATAACATCAAAGTAACTAAATGTGGTGACGGCGATTGCTCTTGCTTGGGGAGCCCAGAACTCACTCATAAACAGCAGTTGCCAGTTTCTTGTGGGGATTCCCGTCTTCGCTTGAGGCCACCTTGAAGATTTTGGTGCCCTCTGGGTCGTCAGGACCCTCGTGCGACGACACGAGCCAAAACCTCATGACGACAAAACAGAACTTCCTCCCTGCAGGAAGAAGGTTGGGATTTAAGGAGACCATTGTGGGGTTTAGGTGGAAGCAGAGATGGTGTGAAAGCTTCGAGGAATCGTACGTTTTTTCAGGATGAACACTTTTAAATCAGAGGTTGAGAGGAACAGCTTCTTCTTCCGTGTTCCACATCCAGCTTAGCAGAACTCACCATGCTCATCAAAGACCACCGAGATGTCCTCCGGGAGCAAAAATATGATGTCCTCCATGTTGACAGCAAGCTGCTTCCTCTGAGCCTTAGTGAGAGGTTTGCACTTCTCCTCCACATATTCCCTCATCTTTAGACATAAAACAAGGAGACATTTTGGATTTTTCTACAAAGAAACAATTCTGAATCAATTCATTTGATTCTAAACACTAAACCTGACCCTGCTGTTCTGTGGGTGAAGCCATCTTAAGTTAAAGGTTATTGTGTTACCTCATCGCTCACAAGCCCTTTCAGTTCATGGTATCTGCCGCTGGACATCTTACTGGAAACCTGAACCAACGCCTAGGATGGAGGAAGGAAAGATGTTAGTTAAACTGTCATGATTTTATTGGGAAACACTTATTTGCTTTTTATTCTTTACATTTCTATTTCACTAATTTTGTACAGAGCTTGGTGATGCATAGTCCATCAGACCGCCTCAGATACATTATTGGCTGGCAGAATGTGAATGCATGGAGATTAGGGCTGCAACCAACTATTATTTTGCAAATCGATAAATCTGTGGATAATTTTTAAAATTATTATTCGGACAGCCAAAGGTTTTTAAAAAATGAAACGAGGTGAAACTAAAACTTTTCCACTGGAGAAGTTCTGGATAGAGAATATTCACAGATGAAAAAGTTTTTTGTTGTTGTTTTTTTTTGTTTTTTTTTTAATCTCAAATGCAAAATGTTTACATATTTCTGGTATAAATGCTGCTCTAAGTGTCGCTCTTTCAGCTAAAGTTATGATTTAGAGTCTCTATACTCAAGTTATTGATTACTAAATTAGTTGATTATATTTCAATAATCGATGAATCCAAATAACTGTTTCAGCCCTGATGGAGAGCAGTCCTCTGCCACACTGAGGTAGTGATGGTGATGATGATGATAGTGACTGTGTGATCCAAAAGCCTCTGTTCCATTTCACCTACAACAGGATGATGTCTGTTGTATCTGAATTATTTATCATTTTATAAAAATGATTTTAATTAAACTATTCCAAAAAGAGGATAAGAAAAAAGAAAATTCCCAAAATATATAAAAACGCAATTCAGTACATAAGAAACTTATTAAAATCTCACTTCACCTTTTGGCTCTACAAGCCACAAAAAAAAAAAAAATGTTAAAAAGGAAAGTGCTGCATTAGGAAGGCATGCTATTAGAAAATTATTATACCACAACGATAATTTTATATACTTTTTCCGTAGTAATTCTCTCAATGTGAAGCAACACTGTCCTTCAGAACCTTAGAAGCTGTTTAATTCCTTATAACTTAAATATAAAAACCGACAAATACGGCGTTCCACACTATTGCTTGTGAACTTACCGTAACACACACACACACACACACATATATATATATATATATGAAAAGTTAAGTGGAAGGAAAAAATTATGCAGAAAATGGTGCACATGCAACAAGGTGACCCTAAGCTGAAAGCATTGTGGGTATTGCTGTGGTGGAGCAGGATATCAATAGCCAACACAAGCAAGGACATGGAAAACAACTTTTGGTGTCATTTTAAAAGACATTTAGCCTCCATACAGAACAATTGTGGAGAGTTTGCACTTTAAATTATCTCAGGAAAGTTTTTGTTTGACATTTTTATTTAAGTGGTCTTTGTGTAATCTTTATATTTTGGATTATCTCTTAATATTATCATGTCTGGCTCATAAACAGTTAAATCAATCTACAGAATGATGAGGAGGTTTTTCAGGTTAAAATCTTTATTGACAAGTTTTAACTTGAATGATCAATGAACCGATGTTATGGAAAGGCTACTGTTGTTACAGTTAACCTTAACTGTGTTTTTGTTTTACACACATTTATGCAGCTCTGCAGAGACCTTATCTGACTTCTTTCATTCAGTTCATTTCAATATTGGGTTGAACTTTGTTATTTTTTGATTAAATGTTTTTACTTTACCTGCTTCACTCCTTTCTGAAAGTCTGCAGAGTTTATGTCCACCTCAAAGTAAAGATCGATCAGCAGCGTTATGATTTTGCAGCGGATCCAGGTGAGCGGGTCTGGGATGCCGACCACAGAGATGTGGGGCCCGGGGCCTGGGCCCCCCGGCGGCCCCTCGGCTCCAGCCTGGGAGCTGAACAGTCTGCATTTCTCTCCGGCAAACAGGACGCTCCGCCTGGAGCTTATCTGTCCGGATGCTGCGATAGAAGGCCGGGCACACAGAGCGCTCCCCTGTCCCCTCCGGTGTAGATCCACAGCCGGCTGCCTGCAGCAGATCGAGCCGCGGCTTCCGCTCCGGACTCCGGAGGCAGCGAAGCCGCGGAGCTCCGGGCGAACAGCGAGGCCGCTGATCCGCTGCATGAGGGCGGGGAGGCGGCCAGCGACAGGACCGAGCACCGGCTCACACACCACATCCACCGCTCCAGCAGACCAACCTTATGCAAGTCACCCCATGTTCTACCCACAATGCATTTAGTCAACGTGACGTAAGCTCAGCCCGGCTGCTGCGTTTAAGTACCGTAGGAAACTCTGCAACTACAACAATCTGTAACCGTTTGCTCCCTCCTTCAAGACATCAGGGTCTGTGTAACATCTAATCACGTTATATCAACTCAGAATATAGACTTAAAATATATAGATCTGTAAAATTAATACAAAATGTATCAAGAACCCCACTTTTGTTCCAACTTTAAATATTTCCAATCATTCAGATGATTTACATCAGGTTTACATGCTTAGAAAATCTTTACTCAGCATTTTGGAGGCTTGCTCTATTTAAACCTCTGACATTTCCTTGGCTTCATCCTGGCTGTTAAAGTGACAGTGACCATAGGTATCTATCAGAAACATCCCAGCAGCTTTTAAAGGGATATGGGGAAAAAAAAAACCTCAGTAGAGTTTGAAATCTGTTAATCTATTGTACACAAAATATTTTATTAGTTAAGGTCAGCAATGTCCTCCCATCATGCAGAGAAGCTCCACACAAGTTGAGCACAAAAGCAGTGTGCAATGTGCTACAAAAATTTTTCTAAAATACCTTTCAGGGAAGGTTGCAAGGAGGAAAAGTTCACTTAAGAAAAAAAACTAACTGGAGTTTGTTAGACAGAACGTAAACAAAGACCAGGACTTGGCAATATAGGCCCAAAACTAAATGAATGGTAAACCAAGTGTTCTGGGGAAAAAAAGAAATAAAATCTCCTACTTATATATAGCAGGTTTGAATGTCTTGGTTTGGGGATACTCTGCTGTAACAGTACCTGGCCGGCTCACCACTATTGAATTAGAAAAATGAAAGCAGAAACTGAACCAGACCATGTAGCTACTGGGCCAACGAACACAACAGCAAATCCATCAACACTAGTAGAGGAATGAAGAAACACAAATAAGTGGGCAGACTCAAGGATTAGATCTTCTAATCATATTAGATTTTTTTAAATTGGGTTCTACTAAAAACTAAAACATCTTACACCTAAAAATAAACTTTTGGAGAAATGTTTTTCACAATATCCCTGAAAAACTTGCATGAAAATATTTTACTCTTACTATTCTTTTCATGTCAAGTAAAAATAGTCATATAGTGCTAAAAATGAGCACACCTACATTAAGTGAAACTTTCGTGAACTTAAACATGATTAATTTGCCATCATTTAGCATATTTATTGGTAGCTCCTTCTAAGTCTTATCATCACGGAAGAGGATTAGAACTGATTTTTAAATATTATTTTAGTTTAATGTGTGGGGAAAAAGCAGAATTCTGACTTTAATCTCAGAATTCTGACTTTAATCTGAGATTAGAGTCAGAATTCTGAGGAAAAAAGTCAGAATTCTGAGATTAACGTCAGGATTCTGACTTTTTTCCAATATTAAACTGAAATAAAATTCATTAATCAGTTAAAAAAAAATTTCAGTGGCCCTAATCCTCTTCCGTGTATACTCTTTTTATTGTAGGTATAAAAAATCAGGTTGTATGTTCAATGAGCTCCCCAAGTTTTCTTTCAATTGATCACTAAAACTGCGTTTACTAATTTAGTCAAGTAAATACATACACATCTCTATAGGAGCATTTAAAAGAACACAATTTTATAAACTCTAACATTTTTTTTTTCTCCAGGAAACTTTGAAAGTTATTATTCATCGTTATTATTTGCTTATGTTGAAACTTGGACTAAACAAGAGTGTTTTACCGGAAGTGTCCAGTAGATGGAGACAAATACCAACTCATTGGTCCCACCTGATCTCAGTAAAGTGCTTAAAAGTTTGTCTGGAGTGGAATACTTCATTTAAAACAGTCTCAGCTTTAAACATAATTGAACGCGACCATAAGCTGCTTTGGATCCGCGGCTTTCATTTTCTTAAAGCCAGATTGAGATAATTTAAAGATAAAACCCGATTACATGAAAGGGACCGCCCAATGTGACCTGCGCGCGCTCATCCATCAGCGACGGTACCCGCAGCACGCGGGTATTTTAGACACATTTGAGTCAGAGTACATATAAGGATCAGAATAACGTCACAATAACTATTTATTGTTAGTATAAAAAGCCTTTCATGGTCAATTGTATATTTTAAGGTTGAAGAGCAATGACACATTTTTCTACTTTAGTTTTTCGTTTGCTGAGAGTTTATCCACTCTGTTATTTTAGATTAACTAACCGAGACAAAAAGGACTAGTTTGGCATTTAGTATCTTATAGATTTGAATCATTTAAAATCAGACAGGTAAAAATATGCAGGATTATTTTCTAACCGCCTGCCTTGGACATTTGCTTTGCTTCCTTAAACATCCTCCTCATTTCCAGTAAAGATAAATTTAGGTCCTCATTAGACTTTGTTATAGTTTCCCTATGTTAAACTTTAGTTATTGTTTGATATGTTAATGTTTATATATATTTTTCCTTTTAGTTTTCCAACACCAAAGAAGAATCTCTAGAAATTTATTTAAATGTCATTAAATAAATGTTTCCCATTTTTAATAGTAGCCAGAATCGTGCCTATGTGAAAAATTATACAAACAGGAAACAATACATTACTGTAAGTTCATTTATTCCGTTATGAAGTGAAAAAGCAAAAAAACAAAACAGAAAAAAAAAACAGTAAGTTTCATATATTTGTTTTTTGAGATTAAGGTGATTGTTTTGCAAAAACAGCGATTCTTCCAGTGTTTTAACCCTCTAAATAAATACTGTTAAATTTAATGTTGACATTTCTAACTTATTCTGCGTGATATGCTTATGCGGGTCTACTTTTTCCTGGTTTTTTTTAGTGAGCGTCCAGGATGTTCATTTCTCTGCTCTGCCGCTAAACGGCGCTGTTCTCCACGTTAAGCCTCCTTGGTGGCTGAGGTGTGTAGAGTTTAAACCCCCAGAGAGCGAAGCAAGTCGCTTCAGACTCGGAGTCTCGGTCTGTTCAGCAGTCTGACAGCTTCATCAGTGACAGATGAGGTTCTTCACAAGCATTCCCACATTTAAACATCTCAGAATCTTATTTGTATTTTTTTTGGTTGGGATGGGATCTGCCTGAAAGTTCCTCAAAATCAATATAAACGTTTATTTTTATTTCATTTTTTTGTTGTTGTTTTACAACACATTAGATTGAATATAAAAATAAACAATAAAAAAGAGAATTCCTAAATATTGTTAGATAAAAAAAAGTTTTTGTGTTTGTGTTTTTCAAAGTGTACAGCAATAAAAAAAATCTGCAAAAATGACATAGATAAAGAAAAAAAAAATACAAAATGCTTCCATTAATTCAAATATAAAGTATACAAAATTGCACTTTACCAAAAAGGCCACAAATGTATCTATTATAAAGATTTTTCCTTATTTTATTATTATTTGTAAAAGATGAAAATAATAATAAAACATTGATTGATAGAACATCTTCCATAATATTCCATAGAGAGCAGATTTAACTTGATTTTCTAGTTATGAGGTTCTTAGAAGATTGTTGAGCTGCCAATGGTTGCATCTTTTTAAATCAGAAAATATGTTGTTTTTGTAAATTCACATTTCGTCTGGGCTACAGGTATTGGTTTTTGTGAGAGCTGGCACAGAGCCTCACAAAATAGCAGGCACAGGTGTTGCCCATGAAAAAAAAATGGTGAAAGAAAGAAAAGAATATGATTTAAATTATGGTTCTAGATGAATCTGGTATTTTTCTTACTGGCAAAACATTTTAACAGATTAGCATAGTTTGTAGGAAAATCATAAATATATGTTTTAAATGTTTATCTTTTCCTGACAGACTTATTATTTTTATTAAAGTAAGGGAATAATAATTATAAGTTTTTGACTTAAATTATGCGTAACAAGAGAAATTAGCTCTAAAATGTTCTTAGAAATTGTTTCTGATTGTTTTTTGCCTACAAATTATTTCTCAACCTGTTTTTTTAACTATGCACAAATAAAAAGAAGAATAAACTTAAATTTATTATTCATCTGAGATGTGATTAATATGCAAAATTATGCAAATTAAGATGCAATTAGGCTCCAATTCTCTAGTGGAATTTTCCATTATAATTTAATACAAAGTAACAGAGTAATTGGTGTCACGTGTAATTACGGTTACTCAAGTGCACTTTCAGGCATGCAAATGATTTGCTATATGTTGGTTATCCTATGCAAATGCACCATGTGGTGTTTTAACAACTTGAGGAAAGCACAATGGTTACCCAGCGGGTTTGGAACCACATAAACACACCAGGATGTATTTTTTAAATGAGACACGCTGGAAAACTTTGAAGTGCCCGGATTATCAGCACGACGCAGACTTTCATCTATCCCAAATCGATTAGTGAGCGGAAGCTTGAGGGATTTTTTTGTGAAACTTTGAGAAGACCTGGACTCCACGGAAAGGACTTTAACTGTTGCTTCAGTTGACACGCTTCTTAGGGAGGCACCTCGCCTGCTGCCTCAGTCACAGCACTTTTTGTGTCTTCATTATGAGTGTTTGATCAGTGACGCTGCAAATGTCAGCGACCAACAGAAAAATGTACGAGGTAATTACACAGTGACAAACTTTCCAGGGGCAAAGAGACAAAACCTGATTATGTAACTGATATCTATTTAGATCGGACAGAGTCCTGGAATATGCTTGAAGGTAAGAATTGTCTTGCCCAGCAGTTCCTTCTTGGGAGGCAAATTGATTTTGAATTGTTACAGGGCTGGTTTACATGTCCTGACATCTTGCTTTTTCACTCTCCGACACACAAACAGAAACTAGCACACACACAGACCCTCTCTCTCCAGCAGGAACACACACACCCTCTGCTATCTGTCTTGTTATGATCAATGCTCTGAACAAAGACATCCTCCCTCCTTCCTCGTTTCCCTCCTCCCCACCAGCCACCTCACCCATCCTCTCCGCCTCCACTCTGTGTGTCTGCCTGCGTGCACAACTCTCTCAAAGAACATAATCCCTCAACAAAATGGAAACACA